GTAATGTTTATCATTGATGTTGAGGTGTATTTCTTGTAGTCAGTGGAAGAATGGATCTTGTTTTTGTATCCGTTGTTATTCTGTCTTTTTATTGAGTCATTTGATAGTGAGAAATGTCAGTGACCAATGATTATTCCTGTTTTTTTTTTTTTTTTGGATGGCGGTGTGTGTGTTCATGTTTATATGCATGCACTTCCTTTTTGGTTTTTGCTGGTTGAGATTATTTACTGTGCTTTCATGGGTATATTTAATCTTTTTGGATTGGAGTTTTCTTTCTAGTACCTTCTGTAGGACTAAATTTGTGAATAGATATTGTTTAAATTTGACTTTGTCATGGACTATCTTGTTTTCTTGTTTCGTGTGGTTGAAAGTTTTGCTGGGAATTGGAATTTTGGCTGGAATCTGTGGTTCCTTTCAGTCTGTAGGACATCTGTCCAGATTCTTCTAGCTTTTAGAGTCCAATTGAGAAGCCAGTTGTAATTCTAATTGGTCTGCCTTTGTATGGTACTTGCTCTTTTCCCTTTGCAGGTTTTAATATTCTTTCTTTGTTCTGAATTTTAGTGTTTTGATTATTGTATGTCAAGGGAACTTCCTTTTCTTGTACCTTTATAGACATCTACTTTAGGGTAGGAAATGTTCTTCTATGATTTTGTTGAAAATATTTTTAGAGCCTCTAAGCTGGGAATCTTCTTCCATTCCTTTTATTCTTAGGTTTGGTCTTTTCATAGTGTACCAGATTGCCTGGATATTTTGTGTCAGGAACCTTTTACATTTAATATTTTTATTGGCTGATATATCTTCAATGCCTAAGATTCTTTCTTCCACCTCTTATATTCTGCTGGAGATGCTAGTGTCTCTGGTTCCTGTTTGCTTACCTAGATTTTCATTTCCAGAATTCCCTCAGTTTGTGTTTTCTCTTTCTTACTTTTCTTTCTTTCCTCCTCCTCCTCCTCCTCCTCCTTTAATATAAGTTAAGACAACCACAGGTTGGATACAACACATGCTAAAAAGTGGACTGTCTTTTAAAACCTCAAAGGTGAGTGGGGCGTTGGTGGCACATGCCTTTAATCCCAGCACTTGGGAGGCAGAAACAGGCGGATCTCTGGAGTTCGAGGCCAGCCTGGTCTACAGATCGAATGCCGGGACAGGCTCCAAAGCTACACAGAGAAACCCTGTCTTGAAAAACAAAACAAAACAACCCCATAAAACTTCAAAGGCAATTTTTTCCCCAACCCCCACAGTTATTTGTCTACAAAATAAAGGCCCACATTAAGACATTGAACAGTAAAGTATGTAATAAATGTTCCGATCTTCCCCAATAATTCAAAATCATGAATTCGACTAGCCTTGCCATTGAAAATCACTCAGGGTACTCGAGGATGAACCAGTTTTCAATGTATGAGCCCTTGAGAACATTTGATGTTAATCCCATCTTCCACCCCCAGCATATTCTAATTTGTTTTGATTTTATAAATAAGGAATTAACATTAAAGCCCGTTTAAAAAAAAAACACAAAAATTAAATGAAATTCCTTTTAAGATTTTTTCCCCTGGGCAAAACACACCAATTTCTGGGAAGACATTTGGACCTACTTATCACCATTCTGAAATAAAGCTGTTGGCAAACCCACTTAAATCTATGGCTATATTCTGATCTTTTTAGCAGTTAGCACATTAAATACAATCTGAAGAACTTTTCTTACTGTGCTTGTGATTATATTGCCTCGTTTTCTTCCTTGTGTTGGAGTACTGACTAGCCTACAATCTGAAGACCTCTAAAATGCCCTGAAATAATCTGGAGACATTCCTGGCTGCCAATGTGATTCTAAGAACCCTGGCAAGTCAGTGAGGACTAGAGTGTTGTGTTTTTATTATCACTTCTATTTCCATCTTCAGGTCTTAAACAGTTATTTATTTCCTTTAATTTTTTTTCTTGAATTTCTTTAAGGGATTCCATTTCCTCTTTAAGGACCTCATTCATTTTCATGTAAGTTGGTTTTTAGGGTCTTTTTCGTGTGCTTCTGCTGTGTTGGAATATTCAGGGCTTGCAGAAGTAGGATAGCTGGGTTCTGGTGGTGGTATAATTACCTTGACTGATGTTGATTGTGTTCTTACCTTGGTTTGGGGTGATTATAGGTATAGGTGCTGATTTCTGAGTTTGTCTGTGTGTTTTGTTCCTTAGTTTATGTTTCTTCTCTGTTCTTCTGAGAAGTGTGGACTGTAGTTGAGCACAGAGTCTCCCCTAGAATTGGGGCATGGGATACATTGATTAGGCAGTCTCAGGATTGGGAATAGAGTAGGTGGACACTGAGAGAGAGTGGGGGAGTTTGGGGGACAGGCAGCCTACCTGGACTTCAGTATCTGTGGTCTCTCAAAGCTTGTCAACTTTTAAGGCTTCAGAAAATTAAGTTTTTGACTTTATGCTCTTTATTTTATCATTTCCCCACTTCATTAATTTTTGCCCTTCATTTTTTCTGGGCTAATTGTTCTCCCCACCCCCTAGTTTCTTATATTGAGTGTCATTAATTTTCATCATTTTAGTATATAGGCATTTATAAACTTGGGTAGGGAAAGAGGGGGGGGGGAGGGAGGTAGGGGTGTGAGTGTATGTATGTACGTGTACATGTATATGTGTTTGGAGGCCATAGGTTGGGTGACTTCTTTAGTTGCTTTCTACCATACTTTCTGAGATACTGTCTCATTGAATGTGGCTTTTTGGCTGCCATGAACTTTGGATGTCCTGCGTCCTCACCTTCCTAGCACTGGAGGTGCTAGGTGTGTGCTACTGTACCCAGCTCTTTTGTGGATGCCAGAAATCTAAACTCAAATTCTCATGATTGTGCCAGGAGACCTTTACAAACCAAGCTATCTCACCCCTCTCCCCATTTTTAAAATTTCACTTTATGTGTATGGGTGTTTTGTCTGCATGTGTATCTGTTTCCCACATTTGTTGTTAGTATCCATGGAAGCCAGAAGAATGCATCAGATCTGCTAGTACCAGGGTTTACAGATGGTTGTGAACCATCATGTGGGTGCTGGAAATTTAACCTGGGTCCTCTGCAAGAGCAGCCAGTGCGCTTTAATATTAAATCATCTCTCTAGCCATCTTTAGTTTTGTGTGAATGAGTATTTTACCTGTATATATGCATGTGTATTGTGTGTATACCTAGTATTCACAGAGATCAGAAGGATGTGGTAGGTACTGGAAATCAAAGTCCTCTGCAAAAGCAAAAATTAAATTTTAATCACTGAGACCTCTCTCCAGTCCTGCATTCCCTCTTCCCAGAGATGGAGTTATACTTGTATTTTTTTGGGATGATTTTATTTGTTGATGGAACATGAGGTGTCATGTATCTAAGGCTGATCTTGAATTCATGTGCCTGAAGATGACTTTGAATTGCTGATCCTCTGGAATGTTGGAATTGTATGTATGAGCTGCCATGCTCAATTTTGTACGGTGCTTGGGAATCAAACCTAGGGCATTGTACATGCTAGACAAGCATTCTTCCAACTGAGTTAACTGCTGAGAAATTCTCCTCCCCCTGGATTTTTTTGTCTTGTTCAGATTTTTCTTAATGTTCTATCAAGATATATATATATATATGATCAGTGCTTTAGGATTTTTATTGCTGTGAAGTGATGCCATGACCACAGCAATAATCGTGGTGATATCTTACTTGTACAAATAAAGCCTGTTTGAAGGTCAGAGAATGGAACTTACCACTAGCTTGCCATAGAGGTCTGTACAGACAGACAGGAAGTGAGGTAGCGGGGCAGAAACGGGATATAATCAGGGAGAAACAAAACTCATTCTCTTGTCTGCTGAGACGCTAAGGAGGTAAGATGTGGCCGGTGGCTTGCTCCTTCTCTGCTCTCTCAACATTTCTCTTTTTCTGACCCCAGCTTTTTATTAGCTAGACCAATTAAGAACTCCATTTACACCCGGCGTTGGTGGCGCACGCCTTTAATCCCAGCACTTGGGAGGCAGAGGCAGGCGCGTCTCTGAGTTCGAGGCCAGTCTGGTCTCCAGAGTGAGTGCCAGGACAGCCTCCAAAGCTACACAGAGAAACCCTGTCTCAAAAAAACAAAAACAGACAAAAACAAACAAACAAAAAACAGCCCTCTTTCCCCCAAAAACAAAGATGGGTCACCTATGGTGTTATAGCCACACCCAGTTCTCTCTCACTCACTAACTCCTAAACCTTAATCTCTGAGACCCTCCAAGCAGTTCTTCTTTCTGGGTTTATTTTATTTTATTTTTTAATATTACATAAGGACTGGAGAGATGATTAAGAGTGCTTGGTGCTCTTATCAAGGACCTGTATTTGGTTCCCAATACCCAGGTTAGTTTGCTTACCACCACCAGTCATGAGAAAAATATAAAAGAATGTTATATAAATTATGTCTGGGTTCTGCCTCTCCTTTCCCTAGCTTTTTTCTTTGTGTAAGTGTGTTGTGTGCATTCATTTATATATATGTGGAAGCCCAAGGTTGATGTCAGGGATTATTCTCAATTCTTTTCAACCTTACTCTTTGAGGCAGGGTCTCAATGAACCCCCCAGTTTGCCAATATGCTAGCCAGCCTGTTCCCCGGATTCTGTCTCCACCTCTGAGACTGCTTATTTTGCCAGTCCTCAAGCATGTATGGCAGCTTTTCCATAGAGCGTATCTCCCTGGTCCCAGTGTTGCTCATTCATAATGAATTCTCTGGAATGCCATCTGGTCCATAATACACAAAAATGAGTCATTCCTTTTTTATTGTTGAGTAAGTAGTAGTTGTGGGTATATATTTATTGCAGTTTCTTAGTCATCTGTTAAAGGACATCTGAGTTAATAGTTATGAGTAAAAGTTTTATAAAGATTCATTCACAGTTCATGCGTGTGCATGCATAAATTTTCATTTCTCTTCCCAGGAGTATAATTGATGGGTGTTATGGCTATTGTATGTGTGGGTTTTTTTTTTTTTTTTTTCTTTTAAGAACTTGCTAAACTGTTTTCCAGAGTTGCTGTACCATTTTACATCCCTACCAACAATGTATGGACTGATCCAGGCTCTCTGCCTCCTTGCCAGCATTTGGCGTTAACACTGTTTTTCATTTTAGCCATTCTGGTAGGTATCTAAGTGATATGTTAGTGAGGTTTTAATTTGCATTTCCCTGATGGCTAATTATGTTAATTTTCATGTGCCTGTTTGCCTATATATTCTCATTATTGAATTGTATCTGCATGTCTCTTGACCCTTTTCTGATTGGATTATTTCATCCCTTTTTTTTTCCTGTTGAATAACAGTTCTAAGTATATTCTAGATTCTAGTCTCTTATCTAATGTAGTTTGCATATATTAAACCAAGCCCGATACCTGCGTTTTCATCATTATAAAGGGTCTTTTGCAAAACAATGGAGTCTAGTATGTCATTTTCCTTTTTATGTCTCTTTTTATTGTCATATTTAAGAAGTCTTCCTAGACCTAGATCCTGAAGACTCTTCTCTTCCCTTCAAAGGACAAGACATCTGGTGATCTATTTGAAGCTATGGATGGCCAGTTGCTTTAACACCATTTATTATGTTGTTTTTTACACTTTGGTAAAAAAATAATTTGGGCATATTTGTGTGGTTCTGTTTCTGTTTAGGGGTTTCTCTTGTGTTTCATTGAGCTACCTGCCTGTTTTTCACCTAACACAGCACAATCTTGAATCTGTATTACTGAAGCTATGTTGTAAAGCTGGAATAGATTGATTTCCTCACCATTTGTTTGTGGTTTGGTGCTGAGGATTGGTTGCATTCCTTGTACATGCTGTGCAACCACTCTACCACTGCTACATTCCCAGCTCTCTTTTCTTTAAAAGAAATCAGAGCAGCTTTTCTAGGATTTTTTGTTTGTTTTTTTTCCCTTTGTTAGTTACTGTTCTGTTGCTGTGAGGAGACGCCATAACTAATGCAGGTTACAGAGATGGAGTCCATGGTCATCATGGTGAGAAGCAAGCAGGCAGACCTAGCATGGTGCTAGAGAAGTAGCTGAGAACTTTATATCTTGATCCACAGGCAGCAGGCTGAGAGGGGGGCAGGGCTGGCCTGGCCTGGCATTTTGAAACCTCAAAATACACATCCCCCCCTAGTGATACACTTCAACAGCACACTTCCAAATCTTACCAAACAGTTTGACTAAGAATTCAGACATGGGAACCTTCAGGGGTGCTCATTCACACCCTTGCCTCATTCCTAATATTTGGGGAAGGCATTCACTTCATCTTTGAGTAAAATCTTAGGGCCCCACCATTTGTAGATACTGTTTGTCAAATGAGGACTTGCCTTCTATTTCTAATATTTTGTTTTTGTTTTTTTTGAGACAGGGTTTCTCTGTGGCTTTGGAGGCTGTTCTGGAACTAGCTCTTGTAGACCAGGCTGGCCTCGAACTCACAGAGATCCACTTGCCTCTACCTCCCAAGTGCTGGGATTAAAGGCATGAGCCACCACCGCCCGGCCTATTTCTATTTTTTAAGACAGCGTTTTGCTGTATATCCTTGGCTGACAAACTATGTATTCCAGGTTGGCCTTGAACTAGTAACTGTGGCTGCTGAAGCTTCAGCCTCCAGTACTGTATTACAGGCATGCACCAAACACCCACGTGAGAACATTCCTTCTCCTTTTCCAAATTATGATTGGGTTTTGAATTTGTCAGTAATTCTCTGTTGATTATGTTCATATGACTTTCCTTTTTAGCTGTTAAAATGTAATACTATGTTAATTTCTTGAACCCAGTCTTGCCCCCCCCCCAGCATAGTCCCACTTGGTATGGTGCTTAATTATTTCTAGATATTGCTGCACTTTAGTTATTATTCTTTTGAAATGTGGTATATTGATTTGTAAGTTTTTTTTTTTTGTAGAATTCTTTAAAATAGAGGCCTCTGGTTTTGTGGGTTTTTTTTTTTTTGTGGGTAGTGTCTTTAAAAGCATTATTTTGTTGTTTTTTTGGGGTATTAAAAACCAAAATTTTTTTTTGTGTCTCTTTATTGTTTTTTGTAATATACAA